ATGCTTACTCCGCACATGAGTTAACTTAATTATGTCTGTAGACCAGCGTCTGTCGTTCACAAGCAAATGAGAACGTGTTATTGTAAACAAACGTTGGTTCACACATTCAAAACCTGTAGAAGCCTTTTATGGGCAGATGGCTTATTTGGAGAAACGTCACTATATTATCAAATAGCTGTTGCACTGTCCTCCATTAAAAGACGTGGGTCGAGTATGCGGATGATTCGGAAGCAGTGCACTCACGGGAAATAATTCCGAGCCTCCATTGACAGGATGAGTGTACATTAGCTTATGGACGCATCATTTGGTAGTTCGGCATGGTAATATTCGCCGGTCGCAGCGTCAGTTCAGTTTAAATTTACGGCCGACACAGCCTTAAATCTGTTGTCACCAGTGGTCATTTTGGAAAGTAGTGAAGGTAGGATGGAAAGTTGGCAACCCTAACCAATGAAACCAACACCTCCGCCCCTCTAACTCTGAAAGCCCGAAGTCCACTGTTCTTCTTCATGTTTTAACTTTACCATCTACAGCAAGGTGACCGATTTCTAATTGGTGAGATCGTCTAACTCCAGTAACCTAACATTTTCTGAGCAAGTGGCATCACAGACTCAAAAGTTGAGGATGCTCTTAGGATGCATACTCAGGAACTTTCACGACAATGAAGCAAAGCTCATTCTGTACAAAACCTGTGTGAGGCCACTACTAGAATACTGTCCATTTATTATTAGCAGCACACACACACGTGAAAAGCTAAGAATTGAAAGTATCCAACCATACTTTACCACAAAACTACTTGGCTACGAATGTAAGAAAGACTACATCTCACGGTGTATGATTCTACGACTTGACCCACTCTGGACAAGACGACTAATTATAAACCTAGTATTCTTCTATAAGGTCCTACACAAAATATCATTCTCACACAGTAAGGACATACAATTCGCACAAGAAGGCTCTTACGATCTGCGTAACCAAACTTGCACAGTGACAATAAAAGCCTTTAAGTCAACACTCCGTGAAAACTTCTTCACAGTCATGTATTCTAAAATATGGAACAACCTGCCCCTAGAAGTCAGGAACTGCAATACGGTTATGAGTTTCAAACGCTCTCTGTACAGACTATTTCACTCTACTGATTATATAAATAAACTATTATTCCTAGAACGAATCAACTATTAGTCTACTACAGTACCTAAACGCGCTTAAATACCCTTACTTGTCTAAAGACTATAAATAAACTAGTGGCATAAATGCATAAAAAGACTTAGTAGAAATAAATAATTGTCCATCAAATTACAATGTACAACGAATATAAACATATATATCCCAATCCACATACTTTTTCTCTGCCCTCTGGTACATTTCTGTTGTATTTACTTTGTAGTACAAGTTGCATCGATCTACATTCCGACTGAAGCTGAGAAACAATTGAAGTCACTTACTCATATATTGTCCCTCAAGGTTTGGCTAGTAATGGCTCAGCATCCCTGATGAAATCCACTGTCACCATAACAAGACGCTGTACAGCATCTTATACAAGCACTATCAACGATCTAAAATGGTTTTTATATAGCTTTCTACGTGTTTATCAACTTACTCGTACGGGACAACCATGCAGTGACAAATGGCGGCCTCTGGCTGACTTCGGTGCAGTAAAACACATCTGCTTGACAATGACCAATATTAATCTGCACTCAGTTGAAATCACACCTGGTATTACTTGCAATAAAAATGATGACAAAATCATACAAATAAATCACCCATTTTAAATTAATACCCAATTTGGACATAAAACAAGAACAGGATACGATGCCGCACACAACAAAGTCATATGGAGGAATTGACTTCAAGCTTTATTTTTTTCCCAAATATTTGTAATTTATCCGACACATATTTGGGTTTTTTTGTTAATGCGAAGACAATATTTCTATATTTCTTTATGTGCTCCATTGAACGACTAACTATCAGAATGTACTCACTAACTGATGTCAGAGAGGACAGCAACCATGTAATTTCACTATAAATCAAATTCATGTAATTTAAATAATACTTATCCATGCCTGTACAACTGGTGTGTCCTACATAGATAGGAAATATATATGTATTTGTCACCAAGCAATATATTTGCTGTGGCCATAACAATCAGAGCCTAACATCATAAAATGAGGGAGGGTGGCGCATGCTGATCAGTAGAAATGGTGGTGGTCACTAAGGTGAGTCACCCCATTCTGCAGGAACAGCAATATGCAATTTGACGGCTTGAGATTTTCATGAGGGCTTGAATATTTATCTTGAAAAAGATAATAATGATCGCCTAGACAGATCATGCTTCTACCTCTAAACACATACCATTCGGTCAGCCTATCGCTGAGATGCGACCACGTGGGCTCTGCACAGATTTATGGGGCATCTTACAAATTAACTTGATTTCCTTTGTAGAATCTTTGAATACAACTACACAATGTCTCATCTCATTCATTTTTTAATAACGTCCTCACTTGCTGATTATATTCCATTAAACCTAACATCTTACAGCTCTTTAGGAATTTGATTCGAATTATTCTATTCCTACTCTCTATAGGGTACGGTTGTGCACCAAATACACAAAACGGTATGAAAAAACAACTGGCTTGTGGACAATTGCATTAAAACCAAAAGTGGACATCATGATAGTAAGACATATGTGGGTAGCATTATACATTGCAAACGAACTTTGTCAGCCTAGGGATTATAGTCTCCCGTTGTATTTCCTTTATGAAGGCATATATTAATGATACATTCCATTTACCTATTTCATTACACTTTAATGATTCACCTTTGCACCTTTACTTTTCTAAAACAGCTTACTATCCCTTGTAAACGTTGTACTTACCACAATATTGGTTGGTTATCGTATGCCTACAACTACGGGTTGAAAACGAAACAAAGTCGATTTTCCTGCGCAACCTGGAGGACTGCTATTAAAAACAATAATGATACGACATGGGTCAGACAAAGAGTGTATTTATACATATATCAAATATTTAACTGTTCAAACATTACTAACTTGTAGACAATCTACTATCTGACATTACATCATACTGGATCTTGCCTGTAAAAATGGCATGTATTTTCATGTAAATTTATGTTTATATGAAAATATACATTATTAATAACATAGCAGCTTGACAAATGGCGTGGATGATCTACCGCGAGCATTCAGCTGAACTGATTGACTTAAACATTGATGGTCGGCATCCAGTGTTGTGTGATGAATGCTTTGGGCTGATAATTTTGAGAAGTTATCTATCGCTACGATAGCATCCAAAATATCTACAATTTCTGGTGCCGTTATATTCTCGTAGCTGGCCAATGCAATTTTGAGGCTTTCATAATCCATCTGAAAAAGTCTTCCAACTAAAGTCTCAATGTGGATGTAGCTTTGTGACTTCCCTGTGGATGAAATACTCGTTTTTTCCACCGAGCCTTATTGTGGCCGATAGTTCCAGAAGATTCCCCTATGACTGCATGCACCTGTGTTGATATTACTTTCCTTATTTATCTGGCATGTAGCCTTTAGCTAGAAAACGCTGTGTTGAAGAAAGCTAGTCTTCCGAATCTCTCAAGCCAGGAATAAAGCTAGGAGTCATGTCAGTTAACACGGTCAGCTATGAAAAACAGTTCAACTGGAACAGTGAAAGAATCCTGGAGGAAAGACAAAAACCACCGGAGAAGTTTCTTTAAGAGCAATACTCACATCACTTATAAATAATCATTTAGTGACTGTAAATTACCAATCAGTAGAGAATAGGTCACGCGTCCTAGAGGTCGAACATCATATCAACGAGAAAAGCAATACCAATACAAGTGAGTAAAATTATAAGAAAATCTACAGGTACAGCAGAACAAATCCAAGTCGGCAGGAGGAGCAAATGCTTCATCGATAGGGAATTTCCAAAGTTCAACTTTCATTGGACTTGCAGCTGGGGATTTCTTCCAGAAGATGAATGAGAGTGTGGCGATTATATCACACAACTCAGGGAACATTTTAACATCGAAAACATCCATATTAAACTACAAATATTTTCCACTAATTTAAGACGTGATTTTCATTCATATGGTCCTAGCTAATGACACGTTATTTGTGAGTTTGAAAGGTACATATGAACTGGCTGGTTTCTGTTCCAGAAATAAAATTATTATTATTATTAACTATAAATGCAAAACCACTCAGTTTCTTAGCTGTTTTAAACTGGTGACAAGCGTGCAATTGGTTTATTCGCTAAGTGATGTCTTTAAGCTTAAAACACTTCACTGTCCCAGATTAGTGTTATCATCGGTTCACATTCATTCCAGTAAGTGGATACCTTTAACAAAAGCTATCTATGTCACAGAACAAAACCTGCAGTTTGATAGTTACATAGTTCGGGGTCGAAATGCTTCACGGTTACCTTTGGGAACAAATTATTCAGATAATAAAACGTGGTCACCACGACACCATAAATGTCAGTCGTTCAGGCAAACATATGTGCATGATAAAATATAAGCTGACTGATAGTAGTAGATGTACATCACTCACATCGACTAGTAGTTCTTGCCAGCCAGGCTGTATGCATTAATATTTCCCCCAGGTAATTAGCCAGAATCCAGCTGGTTTGAACTGATTAACTTCTCTAAGTTGAATCAAACCACGTACACTGTTGAAAAACCCTCTGTTAAAAAAAGGGGTCGGCATTCCATTGCTTGAATAACTTCTATCTGGCTAGCCAGTAGGCACAACTTGTTGGAGTGAGTGGTTTCCCCCTACTCTTATCCACCAGTCAGTAGTATATACCGTTATATAAATTGTGCTACAAGAATACCAAAAGCTTCCGGAAAGTTGGAATATTCGTGTATTATTTAAATAAAGTTTTCAAACAAAATCAATTCATTTAAAGGCAAATAAACAGAACGGAAAAACTGTTACACAACTAAGATAAATCAAAGTATTAAAGCTGTGAAGAAACATAACGTAAAAAAGACCGAAAACCAAATTATTTCTCGAGACAGTGTCCACAAATAAAATCTGAAATGATAAACGGTGTTGCACGGTAATTTAAACATTTATTAGACTGTCAATCGTTAATATTTAAACCAAATGAAGGTATTTCTTTACTCTGCTGGCTTTTAAAATTTCAATTTTCGCACATTAAGTTACAAATTGTTCAATGTGTCAACCATTCGTTTAAGGGATAGACCTTGATTTGTAAAGTGAAGTACAGCCTAAAATAAAGTATTATTATTAAGAATTTACTTCACTCTTTGGATACAACTGGATGTGATCACCGATTTCTGATCTGGCAGTTGAAATCACTTGATTTTTATTATCTGCTGGTGTATGATTTATTAATTTGTCTAATAAATTCTCATGTGATACACTGATGTCTGCTTTACAACTTTTCTCTAATTTGTCTTCAACTTCACCTTGCTTTAGTAGATTATACAGCTTGATTCTTGTTAAATCTTTAGGTAAATAATTGATTGGTGGTAATATTTGTATATAATCAGTATCATTTATGTTAAGAGCCTCAAGTCTTCCATTTAAACAATATCCTAATCTATCTACTACTTGAACATATGTCGGTCGAGTGGACTGAAAGGTTTCTTGATCATTTGTCTGTATTAAATATTCACTGTCTGTTGTAATGGATCTGTCAGGATAATGTGTATCCTCGGCTTCCTTCTCTTCTATTCCATTGTCAGCTTCTATTTGCATTTCATGTTGACTAATACAGTGTGTTAAACTGTGGTCTGATAAATAAGATTGAAATGATTTTGTGGATTCCTTATCAATGTACAATGATTGAGTTGATTCAATCTCATTGATTATTGAACAGTTTAATAGTTTCTCTTGAACAGTTGGTGTACAAATATTTCCTTCCTTTGTAATATCAATGCTATTTGGTCCTTCTGACTGACTAGTTACATCCTGTGTAGTAATGGATGTTGTATCTTCATTTTCATATTCAAAGTGTATATGAGTATCTATCAATCTGATTTGATTTGTTCTACCACATCTCTCTGTTACATGATTTGTTGTCATTGGTTTTACAGTCTGCTGGATTGTATCTTCCTGCTTGACTACTTCATTGTATGACATCTCTTTATGTATCAAATCAAAAGACTGATCACATTGTGAATCATTTAAAGAAAAGACATTTTCGTCGTATAGGGTTGTTTCTGAATATGTAGGCGAATCATAGTCTGTAGAATCTATAATTTCAACGCTGTTAACCGATAGAATTGGAATTTTACGCGATGGCTTCTTTATTTTATCTCCGTTAACTTCTACTCCATAAGAGTTTTCATTACCCGACAGTTTCTCAGAGTTATTTAACTTGTCTTCTTCAGACTGCTGATTTGTCTTGGACGATTGCTGCAGATGTATGGACTGTTTACAGCATATCTGACATTGAACACCTTTATCAAATTTCAGCTGTTCGTTGCAATTTTGAACTTGTTCAGCTGGACATGAATACTTGTCGTATAGATCAGACATTTGAATATTTTCTGGACTATTGAATTGAAATTTGTCAGTTGGAGTTTGCAAACAAGATGATGAATTCATTTTATTGGGTCGTGATGTTAGTTCTTCAGCCGACTGTTCACTATTTTGTACAGTTGATACTGTTGATGATGTTGAATTCATAGATTGAAGAGAAATGTTTGGTACTTGAAATACATGGGTTTCTGGTGGTATATTTAAATTAAATCCTATAGATTTAAGGCAATTTGGTACATTGTACCTAGATGCATAAATTCTCAAATGAAGATTTTCTTCGTTAATGTTTATTTTATTTTCACAAATTTCTTTATCAGTGTATATTGATTGATTGTGATGATTTGTTTCCTCTTGAGTAATTCCTTCACTGGTGTCTTTATTATCTGATGTGGTATCAGATTGCTTTACACTCAAATCACCTCCATATTGTAATTCATTTTGTCTTTTCTCTTTATTATGACCTGTGAAAAACAAAATATTTAATTAGATTCTGTAGTAAAAATGATATTTCTAAATGCAGCTTGTTATAGAATTTAACTGGAAGGTGGAAACTAGCAGTGGAATCCAGGATGCGCATTTCGTTCCATTTGGGACTCGTCAGTTAGTGGATGTATCTGCATTCCCCAGCGAGTGATGATGTTCTCACCGAGGCTCGAACCCAGTGGCCACAGTTTCCAATGCCAAAGCGTTATCCACTAGACCACTTGGGGCGCGACAGTCACTACCTCTTGTAGAACGGGTCATATTAATTATTAAATTGAATTTAAGATTTTCGCTTCGATTGATTGGACCGAAGTGCTCAGTCTCAGGTTGACATGTCGGCTTCTTGTGCAGATGCTTCGACGATGTCTGGGAATGTAATTAGAAGTTAATTGGTGGATGATTACTAGCAGTGGAATCCAGCCGGGATGCGCGTTTCGTCCTGTTTGGGACTCGTCACCTGGATGGAAAAATATAAAATTCAATTTAACAGCTTGTTACAAATGGTGGATAGTAGCCATACTACCACTGATATCAGTTATATATTGCTGTCAAAAGTTCTTGACACACACACCTTCTACAGTAATACTCAACCAGTAAACTTCATTCATTCACTGAGTGAGGTAGCGGTTCATGAAGAAAGCTCTATTTAAATTAATGAAAACAAAATACGTGTATTTCAGCGAAGAGTCTCTTTTCGGCGACGAATTCATTTTCACAGCTGTAAAATCGCAAATATATATATGTATATATGGGTTATTTTGTATGCATGTGTACACTAAGTTTGTCAAACAAAATTACATTTGGTTATGATTATTTCAACTAAATGGGTGAGAATTAGTAAGTTTTGTGTGGAGTTGCGTAATTATTTATTTTTTAATTTTTAATTTTGATTACAGCTTGATGCCACACAGTATTTTCAGTACAAGTATGGGATTTTCAGCATGGATATCGGTAGCCTAAATTTACTGGCCGACCATAGATATCGGGTGTGCGTCAGCCGGGGATCGAACCCCGAACCATGTGCATGGTCGGCGAGAGTCCTAACCACTGTGCCACCGACGCATTGGGTGTCAATGAAACCAGGGTAGTAACAGAGGTGGTGAGTTATTACGAACAGTTTTTAAAAAGCAGTTGCGTGATAATGTGAATAGTTTGATGATTGAGTTGTACTCAGGATACACATAGAAACAAAGTAGAGAATAAGAAGTACGTCGGTGCTACAGAGGTATGATGCTCGCCAACCACGCAGGTGGTTCGGGGTTTGATTCCCCGCAGAAACAATCTTTTACAATGACAAGCCAGTAATAAGACTGGTAAGGTGGGAAGGTTGGGCATGAGGCTAGCGACCTCATGTAGGAAAAATACTCACCACTGATACGGGAACTTCAAGCCTCTAGCTTGAAGCCCTATGTTCCACTAGGAACGTAAAGGAATAAAAAAAGGGGAGAATTCGAAGTTATCTAAGAATTCTAAGTGAATGAAAGAATTATAAGCAATTAAAGAAACAGTATTGATTTCTAGTGTTTCCAGGTCTCCCAATGGTTCTCTATTTGATATCAGCTCATGATGAAATCCTCCAAAGAAACAAAATTAAGTCATCAAAAATCAACAAAGTTGTTACCATGATAGTAGAAGTGGTTGAGTAATTCCCTTTTGTATGCACAGCTTCGATTTTTCCATGTGAATGGCCACAGCTTCAGAAATACAAAGAAGACGAAACTGTATTGCATTTGGTAGGCTATTCTTGACTCTGTAGATTACTTTGAAGTAGAAGGCGTTTGTTGAGATGGACTGATCAGTGTTAACCAGGTGTTCAACTACCACACTCCTTATAGCACCACTATCGCCTTTTGGAAACCATGCTGGATAGTGTTCTTGAATCTCCTTGGACAGGATGTGTGTCGAACGACCAATGTACCTGGCTCCACAACAACAGGTGAACTGATATATTCACATAGAAGTGGTCAGATGCCAGATCTTGTCCTTAAGGCTTCTGCAGATCAGTGGGCGACTGGAGAACAGTATTCTTAGTGTTGCTGCAAAGAATGTTCTTTTTCAGAGATGATCTGATCCTTCTATTGAGAACACCGCTTGTTAAATCTTTCTTCAAATCCAAGTTCATGTGGAATTTCCTTTTCAGCGCAAGTGAAGTTTCATTTCTCCAAATTCTTGGTTTGATATTTTTGTCAATGAATCTTGGTGAGGAAACATTTTGGATGAATATTTCTCTTAAAAGATATAATTCTGTTCCTAGAACATCAGGATTACAGATGCGTCGAATGCGGGTGGCAAAGGATTTAATTAAATTTCGCTTTCGTTGAATGGGTACCCAGCTATAGAAGCTTGTTAGTTGAACATTGTTGATTTTTGATGACTTAATTTAGTTTGTTTGCCTGCTTCTCTAATTGCTTATAATTCTTGTATTCACTTAGAACTCTTACATAATTTCTTATTTTCTCTTTTCTATTCCTTTACGTTCCCAGTGGAACATAGGGCTTCAAGCTAGAGGCTTGAAGTTCCTGTAGCAGTGGTGTTTATTTTTTTTGCATGGGATTGTTAGCCTCATGCACAACCTTCACTCTTTACCAGTCTTATTACTGGCTTATCGAGTTAACGGGGTGCTTTGGCCGATGGTCGAACCCCGAACCACTTCCGTGGTTGGCGAGCATCATACCTGTGTGCCACCAACGCACTCCTTATTCTCTACTTTGTTTCTATGTGTATCCTGAGTACAACTCAATCATCAAACTATTCCTATTATAGCGTAACTCCTTTTTATCAACTGTTTGTGACAACTCGTCACCTTTGTTATTACCCTGGTTTCATTGACACCCAATTTTCTTGACCGTTTTTGTAATAGGTAACTCCACCCGAAACTTACTAATTCTCACCCATTTAGTTGAAATAATCATAACCAATTGTATTTTTTTTTGACAAACTTAATATACACATGCATACAAAATAAACCGTATATATATTTGAGTTTGTATAGCTGTGAAAATGACTTCGTCGCCGAAAAGAGACTCTTCGCTGAACTACACGTATTTTGTTTTCATTAATACCTGAATGGGAATTGTTCATAAATATTTGAAATTAATCATAATACTCACAAAATCTAAATGTGCGAATATCGATTTCCAGCTGATTAATGGTTACTCGGTGGATATCTTGAAGTTCTAATAAGAATAAGCGGCCATTATGTCAGGGTAAAGCGGATTCTCATCGATACCATTGTTCAAAGATAGTGCTTTATCGCTTGATCAGGCAGGAGTTGAAATTCTCGCATCTTTGAATTCTAACCTAGTTACAAGCCAGAATCGTATCAAGAAAGTCTTGAGTTCGATCCCTAATGGGTCATGGAAGTGAACTGCTGAAGAGTCCTGATCTAAGAAGAGACACTACCATTTCGTTTTCAGTGATTCTCTAACCTATATGTCCTTTCGTGATGAAATCTACAGCAGAAGTAACCTACATATAATTACTGTGATACACTTTTATTGCTGGCTTGAGAAGTGTCTATTGTAGTTGTTCATGTCAATCATGACTCAACAGCAACAACATATTATGGTCTAATATAATCACTTATTAGTAGCCATTGCAGTGAATAGAGGAATAAGAAAAGATTGGCCACAACCACCGGTTAAATTCCCAATTGTGGTGGACTGGATCATGCGAAAGACAGTGCACAGGGAGCGAGATGACAAGTATACGTTGGCTGATAAGAAAACTCTAGAAGAACTGGACTCTATGGACGATATATGTCTAATGTCACACATACTTGAAGACCTACAGGCGAAAACCAAAAAAAGCTGGTAGAAGTAGCAGCCAAGACAGGACTTCAAGTGAAAATAGGAAAGACAGAACAGGTGAACATAATCAACCAACAACAACAAGTACCAGTCACACACACACGCACGGAAACAGGCTGGTGAGACCAATGGATGAAATCATGCTCCAGGTTCTCGAGTGGAACCCTAATTGGAAATGATGAGTTGAGAATCTGAAGGTGACATGATGGAGACCATGTGATGAGGAGATTAGCTACGCAGGACCACGAAGAATAGGAGAAAGTGGAGATGTGCTATCGAAGCCTTATTTTCCACGCGGTACCTAAGAAAAACAATAATCATACCGCATAATTATTTCAAGAAATGAGTGAATACTCGTTCACTGCTATAGAGAAGAACGACATTACTAGCCAAGAGAGTTCCACGAAGAGTGTCTTCAGTATATTCTTTATTCCTCCCAGAATAGATGAAAATGAGGCACTTGTCGGTTTCTGATGAATTTAATTTTTGATCGCACTCTCTTCCATACCTACTAACTAAACTGAGAAAAATATCAAGGATTGCTAAATTATAAAACAGTCTATTTTCAGAGCAGAGTTTTCTCCTTTAGTCAACTGAAGCAATCATATGCAGCAGTTACTCACCTTAATATACCGGTTAAAGTATATGGAGTATTTTTTCTTAGGTTAATTTGCATTCCCTATTGAACGGTTAGATTTTTGTCGAATACTTGGTCTGTTCTTACATGTCAGCCTCTAGTGTGAATGGTTTGACAATTTCTGAAGAACAGTTAATCAACAAGAAGTGCGAATTAACCTAAAAGCGAGTAATAATCGATAGTCATTGCATGAAGTATGGTTTTCATACCCCAGTGGTTTAGTGTATAAACCTTTGTGCGTTTGAAACTATGGTAATGGGGTTGCAAACTCAGTGCGAATACCATCATTCACTAGGGAATGCAGGTACATCCAGTTAACAAGTCACAGATAGGACGGAGTGCGCATCTTAGATTCTCAGGTATTGGTTTTGTAGGGATTTTTGTTCGATTGGTTGGAGGATTTCATCATGAGCTGACATCAGTTGGGGAAACATTGGAAAAACCTGAAGGGAGTACTAGACAGCTGTTCATATCGTCCACCCAGTTTGGGACTCTTCAGCAGTACGCACCCACCTACGGGGGGTTCGAACCC